CTTCTGGCTGCATCTGTCCTGTGTTAGGAAGCGGCCCTCCAAGGTAATGCGGTGCAGCAGCACGCTGTCAGATGGATGTAGCAATGTCTTGTGTGGGAGCTGTGGCTCCGAGAGGCAGCACTTAGATGGCTCTCTTGGTGTGACTGTTATCGGTGCCTCTGCTTACAACTGCAGCATGATCTGCTTTGCTTAGGCACAAGCCGATGATGGATTTTGTAGCTGTTAAATTAAAGATAATTGCAGGCTTAGGAGGGTGGTGTGGTGACTACCAGAGGGGGGTGGAATACGTGCACGCAAAATGTGCTACGAGAGATTAGCATTATAGTGGTGGGATCTCAGTACGACAAAAAGGCACCTTTCGGGTTGCTGGCCCAGTGTCTCAGGGGGATAAACCGAGTCTCTTGGATTCTGCATCGAGTCTGAGACCTTCCTGAGGCGGTGCGAGGTTGGGCTGGAAAGGGCTTGGAGGAGCTGAAGCGATTCAGAGCTGATGTAGCCCATAATGAGCTGAGTGGCCCCGGGGTAGTGCTGGAGGCCGTGGCTGCGTTGGGGGGTGAGCGGAGGAGTTGAGCAGATTCCACTAACGCCTGAGTGCTGATGCTGGACTCTGAGAGCCTGCCTGTAGCTCTTGAATGGAAACATGTCTTTAGTGACACGGTTAAAAAAGGAAGAGGCCTGACAGCAGCCGTTCCCATGACAACAGCGAGAGTTGCCTGCAATATTTCAGCTCATCAGCCTGGAGAACAGCCTGATTGATAGTTACATACGCGTGGTAGAGAGATAACAGAAGAGGGGAGGCCAATTATATTGCATTTTCCTTGTCCTTGAATGCCTGTGGCCACACAGCAAATGCGGAGGGCAGTTTTTCCTTGTCCTTCTGTTGATAGTCTTTTTTTCCCCAAGTAGGAATGACCTGCATGGCCCTTGGGAGTGCCTGTACCCCTGTCAGCTGCAGATGTGTGACCCTTACGGTCACAGGCTCTCTGGTTCAAAGCCTATGCCATCTGCACAGGGACTATCAACATTTGGCTCCTTGATTGGTGGTTACAAATAGTTATTTACAATATAAATAATGGAATGGAAGGGGAAGAAATGAGTTTAAGTGCAAGCTCCTAGCATGAGCGAGCTGTAGTCAGGACGTTGTTCGTCTCAAACCATTCCCAGATGGAGTTTCCTTGATACCAGGGCCAACGTGGCTGTGGTGCTGCAGGGAGCGGCGGGCTGCTGCTGGGAGGGAGGCTTGTGCCACCAGGGAAGCCAAGGCTGCTGCCAGTGCCTTGCTCTGACTGGTGGTCGTGTGCTCCCTGTAGCGTTTGTGCACTGAGTTTTGTCCACCATAACTTTCTTGTGAAGCAGTTTGTTTTGGTTGATTTTCCTCGTGCAGTAGCCAGAAGGGTTCCTGCACCAGGTTGCTGTAGCGTGTGCTTTATTTCTGCACGTAGCACTGGGAGGCGTCCTCACGGAGCTTTTGAACGTGGTCCTTAAACACGCCACAGAGCATGAGAAGCATAAAGGCAGCCGGCTGCTGCAGCACTGCAACCCCGGAGGAGAAATCCTCCCTGGAGAAAGGCCTCATGGTGGCAGGAGCAGCAGCAGCCAGAGAGGAGCAGGACGTGCCCGCCTGGCAGCCACCCTGCTGGGCTGCAGGGAGCAGCAAAGCTCCACCTGCCCTTGTGGGGCCAATTCAGCCTTCAGCCCAGCTGGCCGTGCTCCTCGAAGTCATGCTGTGTCTTCAAATTGGGCTTGTTCTGTGGCCAAAAAGTTAAGGTAAATTCAACTTTAGTGAGCAGTCGCTTGTAGGACTGTAGCATTTGGGGTTTATAGCCTTTGGGAAGTGTGTTTTGGGGAAAATATTTAAGAATGAATATTGAATGTTCCCTTAAAAATAGATCCCCAGAGACGACAGATGCCAGATTGCTGCTCATGAGGGAGGCTGTTCTCCCTGGCTCCTGTCGTAGCTCCTTGATGATGCTTTTGAAACAATCAAAATAGAAACATCGTGATGTGCTGAAATGGAACAAACCTTACGAGAATCCGTGATACTGTGTCATCCCTCCCTGGGACATTTAAATAATGCCTTTTAAAGCAGTTTGAGTACGCATTCCGCCCTTCCTGCCTAATAATTTGCTGCAGACCGTGGCACCTGTGTTTGCAGCTCTGTTACCCTCACCCGCGGCGCTGCAGCAGCCCCCAGAGCTGCACAGGAGCAGCCCGCGCTGCTGGGGCTGCCTTCCCAAGGAACGTGGTTGCCACTGGCGCATGAATCGCCTCCTCTCCCCACACCCTTTCTCTCCTCATTTCCTAGTTTTTAGCCCACTAGGGGAAAAGCAGACTTTAGGAGAGAGACCGTTAGCAGATAATAATCATTTGAACAGTTGTTGTTCCCAGTTGTGCCTGATGGCAGCGTGCCGCCGGGCCGGCCGGGAGCGAGCAGGACCTGGGGGACCACAGGGAGAGAGGCCTGGGGGAGCTTGGAGAGGCTGCTCCTCCTGGGAGACCCCTTACTTCTCCTCCTGGCTGGCTGTGGTCCCATCCCCTTTTCTTCCTCTCTTCCTTTTCTTTTTTCTTCCCCCAAACCTAACTTTGTCTGCAGTCAGCTACAGCCTTCCTCCGCCCGAGTCATTGTGCACACAGCAGCACCTCGGCATCCTTTGTTCAACAGCAAGGTTTCCTTTCCAAAGTCACACAGTGCTACTCGCAGTGACTTGCAGCCGGAGGGAAGTCTTATTTCCCCGACCAGGCTGCAGACTGGCTGCTCTGGGCCCAGTGTCAGGGACAGGGATAAATTTGTGTATGTGAACTTGGCACCTTATTGTTTTTGTAACCTTCTCATTCTCTTCACCAGACAGGTTCAGAGTCTGTGTTAGATCCTCAGCAAATCCAAGCTTTTGACCAACTCTGCCGACTCAACCGAGGAACCTCCAGAGTACGTACCGCACGTTTTCCTTCCCGTTCTCAATTGGTGCGGGGCATTTTGCGTGTTGCCAGGCCTCTCATTAGAACTGGCAGCGTGGGCTTTGGCTTTTCTCTTGGGTTTCATTCAGTGCTGGCAATTTAGCATGCACAGAGCTGGCCGTTCAACATCACAAGGCATCCACACTGCCTCTGACAGCTGAGGAAATTCACTGGCAGCAAAACAGTGGAAATGCCTCTGGCTCTGAGGCTGGGCCTGAAAGAGTCCACGGCGTGACATTTCTCGGGTACTTTTCAGATCCATGTGGCTCCTATGCACAGAGGATCCCCTCCTCCTGTCCCCTGTATGTTGCCCTGCTCGGCCAAGCAGGGCCACTCCCTCTGTCCCTGGCTTTTTCCTTGTGCCTCCTGCCTGTTCTGGCTGCGTTTTTTGGCACTCTGAGCTCTTTCTGGGATTGTTTTCCAATGATGTAATTTAAAAATAACCCAAAGACACGTGGAAAGTTGCTCAGCTCAGGACTGTTGTGCTGCAGATTTCTGTAGGGTCACCGCGCACAGCTTTTTCTTCGCGTGTTAAGGTTTCTCTAACTGCAGCAGGAGATGATCCCTGCGAGCTCTGAGCCCTTCTGCACCTTACACAAGCGCTTCAGGGGCCTCAGTTGATGCTGTCTGGGTTTTGTCTTGCAGCTCGCTCTCCTGACAGAACTGTCCCGCACCCATGGTGAAAAGCACGGGCTGCTCAGCGTGGCGCACGGGGACCCCGCCACCAGCAGCGTCTTCCAGAACGAGACCTTCCAGCTGCACCTGGCGCCGCCCCCACTGGTGGAAGAGTAGCGCTCCTGCTCTGCAGCGAGCTTTTCTGTGACGATGCTGGAATTTCCCCGCTGCCCTTCTCACAGCCCTGTGTGCCATGCTGAGCCTTGCTGGGCACGTGAGGGTTTGCAGCAGCGGGTGAGCTCCTTGTGCCGCCACTCACCAAACAGAGCGGCAGCTGGATGGGAAGCTCGGAAGCCTGGGGTCAAAACAGAGCATGCTGAAGCACTGCAAGCACTGGGGCTGACCTGCAGGTTTGTGGCAGCACCCGTAACTTTGCCAACTAACTGTGTCTTCTCCGCTCCACTGGAGCCTGTGACACAGCGTGCCCTACTGCCGCGTGCGGGGTTTGAGGGCAAAGGATGGGCAAACCTGGGAAAGGCTGCGGAAAGCAATTCACGGGAGAAAATGAACCTGAGCACAGCGTGTTCATACAAACTTCTATTAAAAAGTCCCTTGGTTGAAATTGGGTGTGTGAGCTGTGTGCCTGGGGAGTGGGTAAGAGGCTGCTGGTGTGCCAGTGCCAGTGCTGCTGGCTGTTGTTTTCTTGGTACAGCTACTGCTCAACCGGTAGCAAAAGGATGCTCTGCAGAAGTGGCACAGGAGCCAAAAGAAAAGCTACAAGCTCTGCTGGGCAGCTTTGGGTTCTGCTTTCTGTCTGCCTGCAGTCCTGGCTGGCCTGAAAGGGCCGTGGGATGGCTCAGTGTGGTCTGAGGCAGGTCCTCAGGTGCTGCAGGGGGAAGAGGATCGCTGTGACTCTTACTGATTGCTGAAGGTTTGTCACTACTAAGCTCAACTCTTTCTTGTTGAACACCAAGCTGGGGAGTGTCACTAGGTGAGGCTCGGCTTCTGGTGGCACCTTTATCAGTCTGCTCACGGAGTGGCAACCTAATAGCAGTGGTGTTTGTGTGGTCTCCTCTGGCTTGTGAAATGGCGTTACCGGGTTCATGATCACCACCTCCTCTCTTCCTGTGTCTGTTCTGGCACCAGCACTGGGACGTGTTGGGATAACACCCCCGTGGTGTCCCAGCCAGCACACCTCAGAGCTGCAAAGTCTTCAGATGCCTGGTACCCGAGGCTGGGCTCTGTGCCCTGCAGGAGCACCAGGCAGGTGGAGCTCTGTGCACAGAGCTCACCCAGAGCCACAGGGCTCTTCCAGGCATTTGGTACGTGTCAGGTAATGCCATCTGAAGCTGTGAGTGAGCTCTCCTTTGTTGGAAACCCTGCAGTGTTTCACTGTATTACGGGAAATACACAGTTAGGACAATCAGAACTTGAGTTGTTGAGTATTTTATTAAAGAGGAAATATACACACCTCTCCCTGGCGGAGTGGAGCAACTAGCTCAGGGCAAGTCTCTTACAGCACGTCTGCGCAATGTTTGTGCAAACAAAAGAAGTCACGTTTCTGTGAGGAGCGTTTTTCTGATCTGGGGTGCGTGATGGAGCGCAGTGAGAAACCTGCCCCTGCGCTGGCTGCTAGGACGCTTTCCAGAACTAGCCCTGTCCCACACCAGGCTGCTCCTCTCAAGTTTTACAACAGAAGGAAGAGGCAGCTTATTGTGCTTGACATCTGAACAAATCCTGGGTAGGAGACACTCACAGCTTGTGAATATTGCTAATTACTTTACAGTTAAGAAAGAATGTATCCTGACGACAGTGATATGAACCTGCAAGACCACAGGACCGCGTGGTAAGTCTTGGTCATGAACACCCAGCTCATCTCACTGCGCTCGCAGCAGGTGCCCCCAAACAGCAGCAGGACGCAGCGGCAGCCCCTCTGTGCTGGCAGAGCAGACCACGGGCGCTCTCGTGGAGCAGGAAGGGCCTGGTGGCCTCAGCAACAGCAGGTAAGGAGCACCCTGGTCTCGGGAAGGGCCCCGGACGTACCCATGCCCACCAGTCTCCCGGCCTCCCTGGGAAGGCTGAGGCAGACCAGGCACCAGAGCAAGTGTTTGCAGCTCTCCACTCAGATTACAATTGAAAGATTAAATATGAGTAAATGCTGTAGGCTTATACATAATGCTTTCTTCTACCTTACGAGATGTGCCTGAATGGTCAAAAGACACTAAAACATTGTTAGAAACCTTAGTTAACCAAGAAAGACAATCCCGCCCTCAGAAAATAATTAAAACCTTACTTAGTTTTACTACAGCCTTCGTTTAAATGCCCTCAAAAAAAGAAAACAGGATACTTAAGTGCCTTGTGAGAATGTATCTGTTCATGCAATGGCCCAACTTCCTCATTTAACAAGCATTGCACTTTTTTTTATATAATTCATCAAAACTATAAAACCTATTATTTTTTGTCTGAAAGTGTTAGTCTAAAAAGTACAGTATTACTTTATAACCATTTATGGTAAACTCCTAGCACGCGCATGTGCACATACACACACTGTTGCCTAAACGTTTTCTAAAGATACTGATTACAAAGTGTATAAAATTAGTAATACATTGTCAGGATACAGTGAGAGATGAGCCATCCTATAACACGGACTATAATCTAGTATCAATCACTAAACTGTACACGTTTATACAGCCTTATATTCACCGATGACTTTTGAAACGTAAACAGCAAGTACACAACGAAATCCAGTAATGCTGTTGAAAACAGTTATTACTGACTCCAACTGATTCAAGCTGACTGAAATCTTCTGAGAAAGGTATTTTTGTTCCGTTAAGGAGGGCTGAAACAGAACCACCAGCAGAACAGCTCTTTCTCACCAGCTATGTGAGCAAAACTTTAAAACCTGCTCTTGAACTGGGTGCAGAGGAGAGTGAGCCGAAGCTTCCTCGCTCAGCATCGGTGGCCGTGGCTGCGTCTGGACAAGCACACGCGCTACGCGTGCCTGGGCCACCTCACGGGCACCTCCGTGCTGTCCCCGAGCTCTGCCAACACAGTGGTGTGGCTGAAGGATTTTGTGTTTTAAGCTTTGTTTTTCTTCAGGCAAATGCAGGCCCTGAGGCCTTTTGGTCCTGAGTGCGCGTGTCCGGCACCAACAGCACAGGAGGAAGCAGCAGGCAAAGCTGAGGGTGGATTTTGCGTGTTTGGAGGTAGTCGCTTCCCTTCACCTGTCGTTTTACACCCGGTCTGGAATGGTATTGGTGAGACTGCTGCGCCTCCTCCCTGCCTGCTCCCCCTCCTGCTGAGCTGCAAGAGCCAGCTCCCCTGCCAGAGATCCACGCGGAGAAGGGATCCGGGCAACTGCTTGGCCTCGGAAGCAACAGTTGCCTTTTCAGGAGATTTCAGAGCCTGACCTAACTCAGCAGATGCTCGGTGCATAGCCTGGAGAAAAGTTGGAGGCACTTTGTGCGTTCTCTAGCCTGCCATACCAACCCACTGGAAGAGTGGTGCCAACGCGTTCGGGGAGGGTCGCACCAACACTAGAGAAAAGGACGGGCACTGCGGGAGGCCAGACAGAGGCAGAACGAGCCTCCTGCTGCTGCACCTCGCACCATCTATAAGAAGAATAAGGACAACTTGGTTTTGCTGCTCACAGGCGTGCTGCACCAGCTCACCCTCTGTGCTTTGAAGGCCCACTGCAAACATCCTGACAGCTGCAAACATCTCAAGCAGCATGTCCTCATATGAGAAGTAACATAGGATGTAACCCAGACCAAGAAAAAGGCCTTTTTCAGCGATAAGAGTCTTAGGATTTATCGCTACCTTATGTGCAGACATGGGAGGTCTGATCAGGCTGAGAACACGTTAAAATTGCTCAGGCTGCTGCTAGTTCACCACTATGCAAGTCCCGCGGCCACGCTCCCATCAGGGATCTGAAATATCAAGTGCACTGGAAAAAAGGGATTGTCAGAAAAAAGAAAAAAAAACAAAACAACAAAATATAAATACTACAAAAGCAACATTACTGAGTGGGAACTGGACTGATCTGATACCACCTTGTCGGATCACACAGTGGTTTCTATAGTCTCAATCACTTCCATTTCACACTGTGAGGGCGACAAGAGTGGGCATTCATCTGGTTCCCAGCTGCTATCCGGGCTGTAATCTTCTTCTGAACTTAGCTCGGCCACCCCCTCCGTGTCCTCATCGCACGACTCCATGTAGTGAACCCCCACCGCGTTGATCCCGGAGTCCTCCGAGCTGGAAGGGGACGAGCAGTGATCTGTTTTTGGTGTATTGCTCTCTTTTGTGAGTAAGGCATTGCGGACAGAGACTTCCTCGGCCTTTGTCTTGTGGGGCACGGGGGGAGGCTGCCTCTGCACGTAGCACATCTTCCCGTTGATGCATTTCACGCGGTAATTGTCAATGAAGAGGTCTGCGATCGTGCAGAACTGCGGGGAGGCGGGGGGCAGCGGGGGCTGGAAGACGGGCGCGAACTTCAGGAAGTGCTCGGTGAGCGAAACGGCGATCTGGATCGTGTTCGTGGCCTCCCGAGGGCGAACGGGGATCTCGGTGCTGGGAAGCTGCTCCACGGGTGTCATGGGCTGATAGACGTATTTACCTGCGGGGAAGGCAGAAGAGCAGCATGTAAAGACTTAGCTTTAAGTTAGAAAGAAGCCGATCAGGGGCTGCCTGCCTTTGGCAGTCAGTAATAACCTGCAGCTGCTGTTTTAGTGGCTTCGAGGTGTTTTTTTTAGTTCTCTCCTGGTGCAAGGTCTCTGATGCTTAATATTGCACTAAGCGCGGCTTCTCTAGCCCTGGTCCTGCTGCTCTCCCTCTCGCTGCTCCCAAGACGTCTGTAGGAAGTCACTAACTTGACAAAATTGACTCCAGGGACCCAGCTCCCTGGCTGAGAAGTGGGGCAGACACCAGCTCTGCCTGCGCCCCTTTCTAGGGGAAAGAAAATTGCACAGATGCCCAGAAGACGCTTTTTCTTCCCCCCACCAAATGCAGAGCAGTTCCACCAGACATCTTTGCTACAATGATCTACGTTTTAGATTTTATTATTACTCTCAACGATGAGTCTCCTTGTATGCACTTCCACGTTCATTCTTTGAGTGCTAACGTGTGATTTTCTGTGTTACAAACCAGAGCACTCACACATGATGACAACTGGAATTTTAAGGCAGAAAATAAGGGAATTCCCATGCCATAGAAATGCCTTTAACATTTTGATTATCTGGTTAAATAATAAGAAAAACAGGATTATGTTGGCTATACAGAGCTGAACCAAGTGCGAACTAAAGAGCACAACTGAAATTCTCTACTAAAAGAAACAAATAAGAGAGCAGAAAATCAGTACTTTGTTAGGAAAAACTGAGAAACCTGAGGCTACGCCAAGACTGTGAAATGCTGCATTTTATTTGCATGAAGCCTCTGCAAGATTCATGCCTCCCCAGGGGGCTCATACGCTGTGAAAGCACACGTTTCCAGAAGACTTGCAAGTAGTGGGACTCTCAGCAGAGTTTTGATGCAGGAGTTACAAATATCACAAATACTCCTTTACAAAGGCCAAGAAAGTATCAAAGCAAGGAGGGGCTGCTCTGATGCTCGAAGCTCTGTGGGTAAGGAGCAGAAAGGCACCAAAGGCCTGGCCGTGCTGGGACAAGGCGATGCCTCTGCCTGCCCCGCGTGTTTCTGGTGGCTCAGAGGTGGTGCAGCCTTTCCTCCTGCATCAGCTGTCACTTTGGAAATTCGGAGCGGTGACTGTGTTTGTGTTTCTGCTCGGGGTGGCTGAGCACAGCCTGGACCAGCAACAGGCGAGGAGGGGACAGGAGAGGAGGGCTCGCTCTGCCATGCCTGCCTGGTAAGGAAGCCTGTCCTCAGCCCAGGAACCCTTCCCAGCCACACAACCAGCGCTGACTGCACCGAGCTCTCAGCCAGCGTGGCACTGGGCTGGGCAAAAGGATCCCAGCTCCTGGCTGTAGCTGTCGCTCTGCCAGCCCCAGCGAGCCAGGGCCCACACACAAGCTGTGCGCTGCCAGCCGGGCTCCGGTACGTCACCAGGGGAAACCTCGAGCGCTGGAGAAGGCTCTTCCCAGCCTGCTGTGCCTGTTGGTACTGGAAGGGGGACAGCCTGCTGGAAAGCAGCCTGCGCTCCGGGGCTGGGGCTCCCGAACCCCTAGCGTCAGAGGAAAGACCCCAAAGAGGGGTGTGGGAGAGGCACAACACGTGGCCAGCAAGGCAGAAAGTGGGCTCAGAGGAACGAGCACCAACCGTGCTGAAAAGAAACCCCCCTTGTCGTGCAGCCAAAGGGAACAGCCAGCAGCCGGGCAGAAAGCAGCGAGCGCGCTGCAGTAAGTGGGCCGGGGAAGAGAACATTTTGTGAATAGATTTGACCAGCTTCGCTTGAATACCTCATCAAGCTGCTTTCTCCTAGGATCTGCGGAATGATAATTGTTAACAGAGCTGCTGGAAAAGCTCTGTGAGAATAAAACGGCATTTTTTCCTCCTACTTGATTGTGGCTGGATGGCAGTTAGGAAACACACAGCCGTCCTCTCCTCCTGCCATCTTTGTAGCAGTGTGGTCTGAGCTCGCTGCGTCTCAGAGGACTTCAGGGCAAGCACCAAAGCACTGAAGGCATCAACCGAGGCAGAACAGAGCGTTTCTCCTCCAGAGCCGGCTGCAGCAGCAGCACGGATGTTGCTGTTGTGGCAGCTGCTGGGGCTGCAGCCTCCTGGGCCCTCCTCAGCCCCTGCACAGCACAACGGCGCCGGGGTGGCCGGGCAGGCCTTGCCCTCCCCACCTCACAGCAGCCTGTGCCTTCCTGCCCGCCGCTCTGCTCTGGAAATCTTTTTTCAAATCAGTGAACATTAAACACGCTCCTGTCTTGCACAGCGACCCAATGAAATGACCGCCGAGCACGCTGCTGGCTGGATTGGTGGCCAGCAAATTCAGCTCCCAGAACTGAAACGCAGCCTGCGTGGGACCAGCGAGCCCTCACCCAAAACCACGAGGCTGTACTGAGGCAGGTATTTGGGCCGCTTCTGTGTGGGCTCCTCTTCCCTTCCATTAGCAGCCAAGGGTAAGACACACCACTGGAGAAAAAAAAGTCTCAACTCTGCTTTTGCCTCAATTCTGCTTGAAGTGTCCAAGGATGGCTCTGATAAAGATCGCAGTGGGATGAAGAATCAGGGTTTCTGTGCAAGGCTCTGACTGTCCGCTCAACACCGCTGCCACGTGCTGCCAGAGGGGCTGGGGGAGGAAAAGCAGAGCACTTAAGCCACGGCAGCTCACAAGCACGGCATTAAAGGAAATCGAAGATTCATCCAATTTTACTCCTTTTCCTTTAAGGAAGATGGTCAAGGAAGAAGCTCACTGACAAACCGTGTTAGGCGGAGGACACGTGTGCATGCCCTGTGCTGTCTCTCGCCGCTTGTCACAGAAGCAGAAATTTGGATTTTCCCAGCCAAGCTGGTGTCTGGTAACTGCAGCACTTCAACCCCCCAGGCAGGGCTTACAGCTGTAGCCTCTGCTGGGTTTTGGAAAACAGAAACCCAATCACAAGTGTGTGGCAATGCGAGGCCCTGGCTGTGGTCACGCTTCGGCCCTGTTCGAAGCCAGGCTGAAAAGCACCGGCAGGAGGAGAGGTCGGGGAGCCGAGGTGCTCCTGGGCACGTGGCTGCCTGGCAGAGCTGCACAACAACGCGGGGCGATTCGCTGCCTGCTTCAAAACTGCCACGCTGGCACTAATTTCAGGGTAGGAGAAAGCAGCAGCTAGTCTGTTAGCAGAGGATTTCAAGCCCGTTGGTGTGACCTGACCTTGGCTGGAAACATTTCCTCGCCGTCCAAGGACAAGTGCTGCCAGGGAAAGGCAGAAATCACCTAATGGGAAAAAGAAAATTTTCCACATAAACTGATTTTCTGCGTTTCTTCAGGATTCTGTTATGAATTTGTTATTAAGTTCCAGTGGATATTAGGGCCAAACCTGTTTATTTTAGACGAAGCCTCTCTTTTATGAACGTGATCAGTTACCTCTGTTAAAAGGTGCTGGTGCTCACAGCTGGAGCTGTCAGAGTGGATCACGGCCAGGGCTGTGGTAATAGCATCGCTTATAGCTCCCTACCCTACATAATGCATGTAAATGCATCAACCACGATGCGGATGCTATGAAAAATTTATGCAGAAATTTAAAAATAAGATCGCCCACCCACTACAGCTTGCAGGATTGGCAGCAGTGTCTTTTTTTTTTTTTTTGTTACAGCAAATTACCCCCAAAGCACAAGTCCCACCTTCTTTTATAATACATCGTGGTCTGGTAAAAGCCCCCCTGAAATAAGCAGAAATGTTTCTGCTGACTTTAAGCAGCTGGCAAAAATCCATGATAAAATAGTATTTCGAGCACCTATTCCGACACGTTCCTTTTAGTGCTCTAGCACGTAATTTATTGCAGCTTTATTTCCACCAAGTCAGTTGGAGAACTCTGAATTGAGCTCTGCTGATGAATGTTCCTGTAAATTACAGTGTTTTGCACAAATACAGATGCCAGACCAGACACCGCATCGCGAGTTGTTTCCTGGGTCAGTTGCCACTCCTGCCCACGCAGAAGACAGCATTTCAGTGAAGGAAAAATACCGCACATGGTGCACGCGAGGGTTTTTGTCCAAAAAAATACAACTCTAAGTTCTGTGACAAGCAGCTTGCTGCAGTTGCAGAGGTTTGGGAAGACCCCGAGCACCATGAGGCTGCTGCAGAGCAAACGCTGCAGCTCCAGCTCTGTGTTCTGCCAGTGCGGCACAAGGGCTACGGGAAACAGCACTGGGTTTGTGTCCTGGGTGTTGAACAGGACATGCATGAAGCCAGGCGTGCCAGGACTGCTTTCATGGTAAGTCTCAGTTATCCATGCCAGCCGTATGTTGATGGATGGTACGAAATGCAGGACAGCTGAGAGCCCAGGGAAGCAGGTACATCCGCTGCGCTCGGCGTCCTGCGGCTCCAGGCTCACCGAGCATCGCTCTGCGTGAACACTGCGCCTTTGTCTGCTGCTAATCACACACTGGGTTGTGCACAACTGCAAGGAGTGATTGTTTTTCCATTGCTTCATTATTCAGCCAATCCTTGTGAAAGCCTAAAAGCCAAATCCCCCAGAGAATTAACCCCCAGAGGCCAGCAGGAGCTGGTTATGGCAGAGGCCAGCGGAGCTGCAAGCCCCGGTGTGGGGCATAGAGCTCAAGCAAACAGACTCGTCCCGCTTGGGAAACACTTTATCCCCGCAAAGTAGATGTACTTCCATGTACATAAAGTCTCTTTGTGGTATTGATTACCAGAGCGATGCGGTTGATTGATTGGAAGCTGTATTATGGTGTCTCCTGAATATAAAAAATAAATAAAAGCTTTTAGAAGTAAGCCATGAGGTCATTTCTTTCTGTTTTTTTGCTAATTGAGCAGTCGGCATGCATCTTTACCGAACAGACACAGCAGTAATTTCCGTGGCTAATACAAAATAACTTAACCATGAAATAAGCAGAGGTGCTGCTTAAACACTTAATTCTCCACTTCGCTTCGTCCCAGCATTCTAGTTTACCTCTGACACCGATGTGCTTGGCATGGTAAAAAAGAAA